TGAACCCATCTTTCTCAGTCTCCCCCCAGCCCCGAGGTCAGTCCTGTTTTATAACAGTGGCACCATGCAGTATTGGTCCTTTTGTGACTGAGATATCTCACTCAGCATAATGTCCTCCAGGGTCACTCATTTTGAATAATATTGCACGAGTTCCTTGTTTTTCAATGCAGCGTAGTATTCCGTTGTGTGAATATACCAGAGCTTCTCTACCCATTCATTTGTTGATGGGCATTTGGGTTGTTTCTAACTCCTTGCTATTGTGAACAAAGCCGCAATAAACACGGGTGTGCAGCTCCCTAGATTCTTTGGGAAGTAACCTAAAATGCCTACCCCACCCCCACTCCCCATGTCTCAGGCAGGGAAGGAGGCCACCAGCCCCTCGTGTGCCCAAGCCCCCAGCTTGGCCGTAACAGGATGGCCTTGTGCACTGTCCTAGCCATAGCTAGTTAGTGACAGCTTAGGTTCCCCTCTCCCCTCCTGTACCCAGTGCTACTCAGAGCTGGGGGCTGGGGCTCTGATGGCCCATGGAGCCACATTGAAGTGTCCAAGGACCGAGGCAGTGCTGGTGGTCCCACCATCTCCTGATCAAGTGTGGATGTCACTGAATGCAGTCCCAGCTGTGTTGCTTATCCACTGTGCGGTCAGGTGTACTCACACTCTCCTGTGAAATTGTCCTCCCAATGCTATCCCCACATTTCTACACCTGCTCTGTGCCAGGCTCCGAGGACATGTCAGTGAATAGATCCTGTCCCTGAGAGAAGCATAACTACATTGTTGTTGTTAAGTGCCATCAGGTGGGCTGTGACTTCTGGCGACACTAGAAACAACAGATCAAACCTAGCCCTGTCCTGCGTTTCCAGCTTATATTTATTGCTGAGTGCCATTGAGTCAGAACTGACCCACAGCTGACCCTCCAGTGGGTTTTCAGAGGCTGTGAATCACATTGGAAGAGATTGCCTGCCCATCTTTCTCTTGAAGAGCACTAATGGATTTGAACCATGTTCCTTTGGGATTGCAGCTCAGCTTCTTACCACTAGGCCACAAGAACTCTTTTCAGGAGGGATGAGACTTATGCAGCCTTGAGTCGGAGCTGACCCTCCAGTGGGTTTGCAGAGGCAATTAATCACACAGGAGATTGCCCATCATCCTCCCGCAGAACTGCTGGTGGATTCGAACCAGATACCTTTGGGGCTGTAGGTTATGTTTAGAGGACTTATGAAAACCTGTTACCATCCAGTTTGTAAGGCTTCATGGAACGTACTGTCACATCTTTCTCCCAAAGAGTGGCCAGAGGATTTGAACCACTGACCTGATTAGCACCAAGTGTTTAAACCACTGTACTACCAGAGCCCCAGTATGTTTAGGGGAGCCCTTTCTACTCTAGCAGTATATTGCCCTGGAGACCTTGAATGCCATATTTGAGTTGTTCACAGCTTTGGCACATGTGCCCCTTAGGAGTGCCTGCAACTATATACCCCAGCTTGCCAGGTCCAGGCCCAGGCCACTTCAGTGGGCACCCAGGCTCCCTTCCACCCTTCTGGGCTTTGCTGTCCTCCTTTGATGTCCAAACCTCACTTCCTCAGAGGGATGTTATCCTTATGTGTCATCCAGTTCTAGCTGACCCTCCAGCAAGTTTTCAGAGGCTGTGGATTGCCTGGGAATAGACTGCCGGTTTTTCTTTTGGGGAGTACTAGTGGATTTGAACCATGTGCCTTTGGGATTGCAGCATAACTTCTTACCACTAAGCCACAAGAACTCTCTTCAGGAGGAATCGGACCAACTTATGTAGCTGCACTGAGGTCCAGGAGGGCCCGAAGTCTGCCTTCCCAGGACTCGAGTCATTCTGGAACACTCTCTTCCCCTTCCCCAGGTCCCAGGCTGCCCTGGGTGGTGGGGGAACAGCAGCAGGAAAGGGGACTCAGTTTGCTCGGTTCCACAGTCAACACTGTGCACCAACAGTCAGTCAGGAGATCAAAAGACTAATTGCATTAGGAAAATCTGCTGTCAGGAACCTCTCCAGAGTAAGGAAGAGCAACAGAGTCAGTCTATAGACTAAGGTGTACCTGACCCAAGCCATGGTCTTTGCAATTACTTGCTATATATACATCAGGGAGTTGGACAATGACTAAGGATGACAGAAGAAGAATCGATGCCTTTGAGTTGTGGTGCTGGAGAAGTCTTGAACATATCGTGGACTGCCAAGAGACTAAGCAGGTCTGTCTTGGAGAGAGTGAAACCAAGTTGCTCCTTGGAGGCAAGGATTTTGAAGCTCTGTCTCACATACTTTGGGCATGCTGCCAGGAAGGACCAGTCCTTGGAGAAGGAGATAATGCTTGGAAGGGTAGAGGGACAGTGAGAGAGAGGAAGACACAGGATTGGCTAAAAAAACTGGAGTAATGGGGGTAGCTGTGCTGGAGACAGTGAAATTGGCTCAGGATCGAGCAGGGTTCAGGGCTATTAGATACAAGGTCACTATGAGTCACAGGTGACTTGACAGCACATAACAACAAGAAGGGTGGGTGGTGCAGGTGTGTCCTCTGCCTGGTTCCGATGGAGCCTGGGCTGCTTCCTCCCACCCCCATCCCTCCACAGAGATATCCAGCAGGTGTCCACAGGGACCTGGTGGTTTACATCCCGTCTTAGCAAACAGCAGAACCTGGTGGACTCATGAGGGCAGTAGGACCCTTTCTAAGGCCCCTTCAAAGGTGCTTCCTTGAACAGCCTCAGGACCCCTCAGTCACCTTCCCCAGGCCCCTGGGGACAGCACCACCCCAGTCACTGTGTCTGCAGTCCAGGCTGCTTTGGGTTGTGGCTGACCTGTGCTGAGAACAATTCTGAAAGAGAAGAATCAGATGAAGAACTCTGAACAACTGAGTGGTGCAAGCACACTGTGCTTGACTGTTAACTCAAAGGTTGGCGGTTCAAATCCACCTGCAGTGCTGACGAGAAGGTGGTAACCTTTCCATGAAGATGACTTCCAAGAAACCTGGTGGGGCCTTCACACCTAGGACCACCAGGAGTGGAGGGCACGGGGGTTAGGTGGGACTCTGAAGTTCAATCACAGTGTGGGCCCCTCAGGGCTGGTCTCCCTGGCTCCTTCCCCCTGGTCTCCCGCTTTAAGCTCTCTTCATTTCCTTCCTCTGCAGTGATCCAACCTCCACCCACAGCTGCTACAGAGAATCACAGGAAGGCTAGACTGCTTTCAGTAACTTTTTTTACAGAATTTTTTTTTCTGCTCCAATATTTTAAATTAAATGAATTTAACTGCCCAAGTGTCTTCCTTGCAGCCGTCAGCCTGTGTGGTCCTTGAACCACTCCCCCTGGTGGCCCAGAGACCCTCCCTCACGCTGCTCCCACTGTTTTGTGTCTCTAAAATTGGGTAAATCCGTTATCTGTGGTCCCAAACTCATTTTCACATGCAGTACAGAGCTGCATGGTGTATTTATTTATTTTTTTAAATGCCCTTTTAAAAGCACGAGAAAACCTTTGACAGCTCTGGGGGGCCAGTGGGTAAGAAGATGCACTCGAGAAAGAGGGGCAGTTTGCTGTGTGATTTACAGCCTCTGAAAACGCACTGGATGGTCAGTTAGGAGTCAGTTCTATATAGACAGCAATGAGTTGTTTGAGATGTAAGTTTTGAGTCCCTTAAGTTACATTTTAAACTTTTCCTTCTTTCTGTAAAAATTGAAGATTAGTTGTAACCACCATAATTTGGACCCTGCCAATTAACTTTTTGTAACTTTTTTATTGTGATTTGGGTTATCCACTTAACATTCATATATACTGTGTCAGACTACAATCCTCACAGATGTAACAGCACTCTCCCCATTTCCTCCCAGTGTTTCCCACTTCCATTCATCCTTCCCTCCATCCCTACCTGCCTTTTAGGCAGTGCTGGTCTTTTGCTTTTGTGTGGTTGATTGTTATAAAAGTGAGCACCTCCCTGGTGGTCCTGTTCACTCAGGTTGTAGGTTTTGTTAGGTGCTGTGGGGTCAAGTATGACTCACAGCGACCCTATGAACAACAGATCTGGAACCCTGTCCTAGCCTGTGCCATCCTCCTCATCTCTGACAGGAATGGGCCCACGGCTGCAGTCACTGTGTCAATCCATCTCTTTGACGGTCTTTGTCTCTTTCACCAACCCTCCATCTTTCCAAGCATGATATCCCTTTCCTAACAGTATGTCCAAAGTACGTGAGACAAAGTTTCATCATCTTTGCCTCCAAGGAACACTCTGACTGCACTTTCTCCACAACTCAAAGGCACTGATTCTTCTGTCATCCTTATTCATTGTCCAGCGCTCAGAAAAGACCATGGTCTGGATCAGTGCAGCTTAGTCTTTAAACTAACATTACTGTTCTGTCGCATTTTGGAGAGGTCCTTGATGGCAGACTTTCCTGCCTATTGTTTGGCTACAGGTCGAGCCAAAGGATTGAGCTCAGTTCCAGACTTGAAGGGTGACTAAAGGACATAGTCTCAAGGGTTCCACCAGTCTCTATCAGATCTGGAAGGCTGCTGTTTATTGTTAATTCTGTCCCATGTTTTCTTCCCACTCTAACAGGGGCTTTCTATTGTGATCCTGGTGAGAGCTGTCAGCAGTGACAGCCAGGCACTATCTAGTTCCTCTGATCTCATGGAGGCTGGGCTATTAGTTCTTTGTTCTTTCATGTATCTTTGCTTTTTTCATTCGTCTTTGCCTTGGAATTAGTGTGTGATTTAAAGAAAGCTTTCCAGAGGCCTTGGGAATGCCAAACACTTCCATGAAAGGACTTGATGTGTCCCTGGAAGTCTTTCTATAAATCCAGGTTGTTACACAAAGCCTTCTGTGCTGGGCAAGACAGAGGCGCTAATCAAGCAGGGTCCTATTACCGTGACCACTCAAAAGCCTGTTGACTTTCTATTCATCTGCTGGGCCCGCCTGTCTGTCAGCCCTCCCACACACTTAGGCACTGATGCGTCTGTCTGTCTGTCCACCTACCTGACTATCTGCTTTCCTTCAGGATGCCTTCCATGCCTTCCACTCAGACCTCAATTTTGTGCGCAAGTTCCTGCAGCCTCTGCTGATTGGTGAGCTGGCCCCGGATGAGCCCAGCCTGGATGGACTTCAGAATGTGAGTAGGGCCCTGCTGGGGCCAGGCCCCAAGGGGTTGGGAGTGTAGGCGCCCCAAGGAGCCGCTCTGTGGAATCTGCTGGTGTAGGTAGCTCTGGAACCACACCCTCCAGGGAACTAGATCTGGTGTGGCAGACACTTGGGGGGGGGTCCCCTTGGTATACACCTCTCTATTCTGAGCCCAGCCCGGGGTCCCCTCCACAAGGAGAATTTGATGAGCTTGTCTCCATGTTCTTGCTGCTCTGGGCTCTCTGCTTCTCTCGTCCTTGGCATGCTTTAGGGCAGATGACCCAGCTCCACATCCAAGTCCTCATTTCACACCAGGGCCCTGACCCCTGTCCTGCTCTGGTTCTTTAGACCAGGCACTGGGAGAGGCAACCAAACTGTGGGGATCAGTGGGGACAGCTTGCACAACTGACCGCCACTCTGCCCACACAGGCACAGCTGGTGGAGGACTTCCGAGCCCTGCGCCAGACCGCTGAGGACATGAAGCTGTTCGAGGCCAATCCTACCTTCTTCCTGCTTCTGCTGGGCCACATTCTCACCATGGAGGTGCTAGCCTGGCTTCTGGTCTACCTCCTGGGCCCCGGCTGGGTGTCCAGCACCCTTGCCGCCCTCATCCTGGCCCTATCGCAGGTGACCCCACCATGGCGCTGCAGCCTACCTCTTACACACTGCCCAACAGCCATGGGGTGCCCTACATACTGAATGGGTGGATGGCAGCCTGAAGGATGAGCGAGCTTATGTGCCAACTGTTAGATCTGCCCCGTGAATGAATGAATGAATGAATGAGCAAGGCTACAACCGGGGGTCCCCATGAATGAATGCTTGAACTAACAAGGCAGCAGCCGGAGGGCCCATCAGGCCCAGCTGGTGTCACCACACTTTGCTTTATCCCACTCTGTAGACACGGAGCATCCTGCAGATTGAAGGCCTGTGCAACGCGACGGCCAGCAAGTCTGCTGGTGTCATTTTCCCAGCGGCCTGTGCTCCCTCTGTGTCTGTGTTACATTCTGGTCATTCTCAACTTTTCCCTCATGTTAGTGGACACTGTTGTTGTTGTTGTTTTTATTGTTACTGTTATTGCTTGGTGCCGCTGGGTCAAATATGACCCACAATGACCCTGTGGACAACAGATCAGAACCCTGTCGCATCCTGTGCTGTCCTCATCAATTCTGACACACTCAGGCCCATTGCGGCAGTCACTGTGTCTGTCCACCCATGTGGTCGAGGCGTTCTCTCTCTCTTTTGCTGACTCTCCACCTTTCCAAGCACAGTGTCCTTCAAGGAGCAGCCTCTCCGAACAATATGCCTGAATGAAGTATGTGAGGCGATGCTTTATCGTCTCTGCCTCCAAGGAGCACTCGGGCTGCACCTTCTCCAAGACACATTGTTCTTTCAGCAGTCTGTGGGGTATTCAGTGCTCTGCTCCTGATGCAGTAGTCTACCAAGTAAACAAAACCAAACAAAACCACAATAATAACAAAACCTGCTGCCTTTGCCTCAGTTCCTCCTCACGGCCACTCCTCCCGGGGTTCCCAAGGCTGTGAATCTTTAGGGAGGAGATTGTCTGTCTTTCCCCTGGTGGATCTGAACCATCAGCCTTTTGGTTAACAGCCCAGCATGTAATTAACTACCCCACCAGGGCTCTTCCATAAAGCACTGTCTGGTGTTCACATAACTTTGCTAGGCACTGGGAGACTGACAGCTTGGTGTGACTGGCTTTATCGCAACACTGGCTTTGCTGTGGTGGTTGGAACCCAGCCCCAGTCGTTATGTCTGAGGCAGCCTGTGTCCGTGGGTCAGGATGCGTGTTCCGTGAGCCTGAAGAACACGGCTGGCCTCAGGCTCCTCCATGGGCTCCAGCCCCGTCCAGCCATGCTGGCTGGGAGCTGTCCCGCTGCTGACCCTGCCTCCCTCCCCAGGCTCAGAGCTGGTGCCTGCAGCACGACCTGGGCCACGCCTCCGTCTTCCAGAAGTCCCGCTGGAACCACCTGGCCCAGCAGTTTGTGATGGGGCAACTGAAGGTGAGGGGGAGGCGGGCAAAAGGCCGGGGGTGGGGCCTACACCCTAATTGTTGGGGAGTCAATGAGGACCCTCCCACGGAACCTCCCACCTCCACAGGGTTTCTCTGCCCACTGGTGGAACTTCCGCCACTTCCAGCACCACGCCAAGCCCAACATCTTCCACAAAGACCCAGATGTGACCGTGGCGCCCATCTTTCTCCTGGGAGAGTCGTCCATTGAGGTGATGGGACCTACAGTTGAGAGGGGACCACAGTGACCAAGGCCCCTCCCGTCACAATCCTTGCTCCAGTTCTTCCCCCACTCCACCTGCTGGGGAAGACGGACCTGTCTACTAGGGTCTAGAGTGGCCTCTTACAGGGATGCTTGCTGGTAGTGCATTCTGGTGGTGCGCCACTAACAGGAAGGTCAGCAGTTAGAATCCACCAGGCGCCTTGAGAAGAACGGGCAGTCTCTTCCCTTAAAGAATTACAGGAGGGTCGTTATGAGTCAGAATTGACTTGACACCAGTGGATTTTGGTTGTAGAGTTGCCTTTTAAAGCACTTGACTGCTGACGAAAAGGTGGCTGGTTCAAGCCCACCAGCCCTCTTCAGGAGAAAGCCGAGGCAGGCTGCGCATGCGCAAAGTCTAGGAAGCCCTCCAGGCAGCTGTACCCCATCCTGCAGGGCTGCCGGGAGCTGGGACAAACAAGACAGTAACGGGTTTTAGAGTCGTCTGCTGACCTCTGGCCCCAGGAAGCGGGTGACCTTGCCTGGGAGGGGTAGGGTATGGAGAGCCGCCCTCCCCAGCTGTCCCTGTCTCCACAGTACGGCAGGAAGAAACGCAGATACCTGCCCTACAACCTGCAGCACCTGTACTTCTTCCTGAGTGAGTGTCCACGTGTTCTGCTGGCCAGGACGCAGACCCTGTCGGGCACTCTGCTCTGGCCGCCCAGCCTGTTGTTTCAATATCCTGTCCCTTTGCCCTGCTACCCACTGCCTGGCGTTCCTGCCAGGTGCAACCACAGCCTTGCCCAGACAGTCCCCAGACACACCCACGATCCCTGCCCACCTTCCCAGCGGGGCGATCCAAAGACCTAGAAGGTTCCAAGGAGGAGTTATGGTGGGAACCCCAACCGATCACCCTGGGCTGCTGCAGAAGGCACGTGGGAAGTGATAGGGTAGGGGCGTTTCTGGAGGCCTGAAACAGCGAGGTGAAGAGTGAGACCAGATCTCCCTGTTGGCCAAGCCCAACACCAAAGTCCGGGGAGGGACAGAACCCCACTCCTCGCAGCCCACCGCCCACCGGCCGGGTGCTGAGCCTAACTCCTGAGTGCTCTGGTGTCCGTCCCTAGTTGGCCCGCCGCTGCTCACCCTGGTGAACTTCGAGGTGGAAAACCTGGCGTACATGCTGGTGTGCCTGCGCTGGACGGTGAGTGCACTGCCCAGCCTGGCTGCCGCTGTGCAGAGGAGGGGCTTCGAGGAGGCCGCGCCTGTTGGGGACGCAGAGGGTTGTGCGTGGGTGGGTGCTGGTGTGTGCGCATGCGCATGTTCGGATGCAGAAGGGGGGCGAGTGTGCATGTGTGACAGTGGTGTGTGCAAGCGTGTGCAGGAGGCGAATAGGTGCACACAGCCGTAAGATCCATGTGCAAGTGCCGTGGGAGGGTGCACACAGTGGTGACATGTGCGTGTTCACGCGGGTGGTGGGCGAGTGTGCATGTGTACAAGTGAGTGTGCGTGTATGACAGTGGTGTGTGCAAGTCGTGTATGTGCAGTGGGAGAGTGCACACAATAGAAATGAGTGTGTGACGTCGTGGTATGTGTGTGTTTGCAGGGAGAGTAGGATTTGCACGTGTGTGCAGTGGGAGAGTATGAGCACATGATGTGGTCTGTCTGGGTTTGGGGGTGGGGTGGGGGGCGGCGTGCTTATGTGTAACAGTGTGTACGTGAATTTGTGTGTGCAGTGGAAGAGTGTGCACACATGACGCTGGGTGTGTGTGTGCGTATGTGTAGGGGGTGGGACAGTATACATGCAAAAGGTGAGGCTGGGCTTTATCCCCATGGGCAAGGCCGTGCTTGCAAAGGAATCAGTGGTATAGGATTCCTTGGATAGGAATCTGCTGGACTGGCTCTACTAGGCATTTATTATGCCCCCCTCAACTGGGCTCGGGATCCTGGGAGACCAGTGACCTCTTCACATGGTCAGCTCTGTGCCCACCTCCAGGGCTCACAGACCCTGGCCGCCTCCAGGCCACAGAGTAATGCCTCCACCCTCCCCGGCAGGACTTGCTCTGGGCTGCCAGCTTCTACTTGCGCTTCTTCTTGTCCTACACCCCCTTCTACGGTGTCCCTGGAGTGCTGTTCTTCTTTGCTGCTGTCAGGTAGGGGCCAGCTAGGGGGTAGCAAGGAGCTGGAGGTCGCACACTGCCAGCATCATCACCCTGACCATACCCTCCCTCGGAGCCCCCATTTCCCCGTCTGCAGAATGAGCACAGCAGTACTGGGCTGTGGAGGAAGAGAATGGACACAAGAGTGACTGGAGCCCAGGGTCAGCGGGTCTGGGGAGGCAACCAGGCTCGCAGGAAGCCCTGCCATGTCCACTCTCGTGAGCAGGACCAGTGTGCCCTCAGCTTCACGGTGCCCACACTCCTTCAGCGGCTTTAAATCCTTGCGAGGGAGGGGTTAGTGCTGTCCCATTGTACAGATGAGGAAACTGAGGCCCAGGTCCGGGTGACAGCCTGCTCTCCGGCTCCTGCTCACGGTGCCTAAGTGGTGAGCCGGCTGCAGGGCAGTGTCACGCCTCCCCCCACAGGGTCCTGGAGAGTCACTGGTTCGTGTGGATCACACAGATGAACCACATCCCCAAGGAGATCGGCGGGGAGAAGCACCGCGACTGGGCCAGCTCCCAGGTGGGTGGTGGGGGCTTGGCCCGAGTCCACACTGGACGTGGACTGGGGGTCCCAGGCAGAAAGGAGGGAGGGGGGCACGTCCTCCAGGTGTGTGAGGGTGCTCGGGAAGCCAGCCTTCATCACCCGCACCCTGCCCACTCCCGGCAGCTGGCAGCCACCTGCAACGTGGAGCAGTCCTTCTTCAACGACTGGTTCACCGGACACCTCAACTTCCAGATCGAGCATCAGTGAGTGAAGGGGTGAAGGCTGACCCAGAGGGTGAATCAGGAGCCCCACCTTGGCCCTGGGAGGCCAAGATACAAGCCCTGGGCTCCCCAGGGACTCAGGGAGGGGGCGGTGCTGAGTGGGAGGAGCTCCCTCTACAGCCCCCACCTCAGATGTTCGTGTGCACCCCCCAGCCTCTTCCCCACGATGCCGCGGCACAACTACCGCAGGGTGGCCCCGCTGGTCAAGGTCCTGTGCAGGAAGCACGGCCTCACCTATGAGGTGAAACCCATCCTCACCGCCCTGGTGGACATTATCAGGTACGGCGCCTCGGCTCCCTCACCGCCGCATCTGGCCAGCCCCACTCACCTGGCTCTCTGCACCCACACGGGTCCCTCCCGAGGAGTCCTTCCTGAGCAGTCCACGCCGCTGTCCCCAGCCTGCATCTTGCTGTGTCCCCAATGCTATTCCTACAGTGACATTTGGGTGGAGCAGGCAGAGGCCTCAGCCTCCCCGAACTGACACCTGGCCTTGACAACAGTCATAAATGCAGGACAGGAGAGTGAGCGGGGCTGGGCACTGTGGCAAAACCAGAAAGGAGAGGGATCCAGAGAGTCAAGACAGGGGTGCAGTGTTTATTCGGGGGTGGTGGGCAGCATTGAGAAGGAGACCAAGACTTGGAGAAGGAGATTGGCCGTGGAAGGTCAAGGGAGAAGGCAGAGGGAACAACCAGTGCAAAGGCCCTGGGGCAGACCTGTCCTGGCGTAACACTAAGGGCGAGGTGAGGCAAGGCGGCTGGTCTCCATGAAGACTTTGGTTTTGGCTCTGAATAAGATGGGGAGTCACTTTAGGCTCTGAGTGGGAAGAGGGCCCAGCCTGGCTGAGACTCTGGAAAGATCTCTGGCTATGATGATACGCTGGCCGAGGCAAGAGACACCACAGAACGCAGAGCGGAGGCTCCTGCAGTGACCCAACAAGGCCAGGTGGTGGCCTCGGATGTGGGCAGCTGAGGTGGGACCCCGAGTATCCTGGCTGGTCCCCACATTTGGGCTGTCTGCACCTCGGTGCCTTTGCATCAGCTGTCCTGTTTACTCGGATGCCCTTCCTTCTGGGCATCCACTGCTCCGTCTACGGGATCCTTCCCAGCCCGGCCACATGGGCCCCACCACTCTGCCAGCCCCATGGCGTGCCTGGTGCAGGGTTTGAGCCCAGTTCCCGAGGGGCACGGTTCCCCCTTAGGGGTCTGTAGTTGCAGCACCCGGCCAGAGCTTGTGTTGTGGAAAGGAAGGTGTCAGGTAGAGTCAGGTGAAGGAGAGACCGGCCGTGTCTGACCCCCCACTCTCCCCTACCTCCTCAGCCCCCTCTGGTCTAAATTCCACCTCACCTGCCACTGTTCGAGTCCTGATCCTCCTCTCCTAGCCCAGCCCCCTGTCCCATCCAGCTGCCTGCCCTAGGAGAAAGGAGATTCATGAGGGAATGAGCGTACTTCCACACCCCCACTATCTGGGGAGTCCCTGACCTCACTGCCTCCTGCTTTCCAGGTCCCTGAAGAAGTCTGGTGACATATGGTTGGAAGCCTATCTCCACCAGTGACAGCAGCTCCTGGGCAGACGCAGTGAGGGCTCAGGGCACCAGTGACCACCGAGCTGGCTCCAAGCAGGACTGACCCCCAGTCTGGGCCTGCCTGTCCTCAAGGGCCTCCACTCCCACTTGACCTGCTGCTGCCGTGCACCCGGGCCCAGGGCTGCAAACACCTCAAGACTGTTTGTGACCCTCCCACAGTGGAGTTTGGGCTCAAGGGTGACACAGGAAGCGACCACAGCAGGCTTTCCTAGATAGAACAGGGACTTGGACAAAACCATTATTTTTATATTAAAATAAAGCCAGGTGTGTTGTGCAGTGGACTGGTCACTCCACGTGGATTTGGGAGTTGGATATCAGCCAACTATCCGGAGTTCAGTTCCAGGGTATGGGGAGGTTTGGGGACAGGATGGCGTGCTCAGGGGGAGGGACCCAGAGCTCAGATTCACTCAGTTTGGTTCTGCTTTTCATCCGGTCGGCAGTGACCAGGCACACTGGCTTAACCTTACTTTGCTCTTCTGTAGAATGGGCTGATGCTGGTCCCCAAGTTGAAGGCCACAGGTAAAGAGACCAGAGCTTGCAAGGGTTTCCCTAGCATGGCAGCAGGGGGTGGGCTGGGGAGGAACAGCAGGGCTATTGTGTTTCCCCCGATGGCACTGGCCCTCCTGCCACCTGCCCATCTCAGTGCCTCAAGGTGCAGGAGCTTGAAGGACATGGGGGGCACTCCCCCCCACCCCAGGCCTGTGCATCCTGCCGGTTGCTGAAGTCAACAGACTGGACCTCCAGGTTGACTGTCTGTATTCCCAGGTCCCTGGAATCTGCCAGCACCCTCCATGGACTTACAGAGGCTGGCCACTGTCCTCAGGCTGGTGGCTGACCACAGCAGACCTCAGGCTCCTCGTCTGGAGAATGGGCCTGGGGGTTTTGGACAGTCTGAGGAGGGCTGAGTCACCTCTTGGGACAGCCCGAGGGTGGGAGAAAGGAGCCACACACCTGGACAAAAGCAGCTCCGTGGAGCTAAAAGGGGTTAGGGGTCACCGAAGACCTTTCTGCAGGGGGAGCTGGGCAGCCACAGTCCTTGACTGGGGGGCTGGGGCTCTGTCCAGGGGCTCAGGGGATACAGATGCTACAGCCTTCCTGTTTAGTCTTTCGGGGCCCACCCTCTATGGGGAGACCCCTGTGCTGCACCTTATTCATTCCCAAGACGGGGTGTTGGAGGCTCTGCTGTCGGGCAGCCCTCCTTCCAGATGTCGGCCTCCTCCCGGGACAGAGCCTGAAGTCCCGGGGAAGCACACAGGTGGACTTGATCTCCTGTCTCGGTTTTCTAGCACTTCTCTATCAAGTGCGGGGCATTGACAAACACGTGTCGTCTCTTAGTTTGTTGTTATGTACCATTTAGTCAGAAGCTGACCTTCCAGTGAAACTTTCAGAGGCAGTTAATCACACAGGAGGAGGTTACCCATCTTTTTTGTCATTGGAGCAACTGGTAGATTCGAACCATGTGCCTTTGGGTTGGCAGCACAGTTCCTTAGCGCTGAGCCATCAGAGTTCATTTTACAGTTTAGTGGAGTAGAAGGCCAAATTCAGGGTGCTGGTTCTAGGAGCTCTGATGACGTCATGTGTTAACTGCTCTGTTGTTAAGCAAAGTGATTTGAACCCACCAGCAGTACATTGGGAGAAAGATGGGCAATCCCGTCCTAGGAGACTTACAGCCTTGGACACCCACCCAGTCCCGAGTCGGTTCCAGCTGTCCTAGTCTGAGGAGGGTCGCCCTGCTAACCAAAGGCGGTGACTGTGGTAGAATCCACCGGCTACTCTTCGGTAGAGAGATGAACAGTCTCCTCCCGCTGCCGTTTCTGGCCTCTGGCAGTTCTTGGAGAGCCGCTCCCGGTCCGCTGACTCCGCGAGGAACCGTGGTTTCCAGGGAGGGCATCCTGTCTGTCATTCTGGAAGAAGGTCCTTGTTTCCTCCAGCATCTGTCACTTCCACATTCCTTTCAGATCTCTATGTGTCCTGACCTCCCCATGTGTGTGCTCCCAGTACTGGGACCTGAGTCCCAAACACCACTTCCTCCCCGCCTGGACTTTCTATGTGATGATGGTGAGACCAGCGGAGCACATCTCAGCTCCCGTCACGGGGAAAGGTGACGTCATGACGTTCCTGCCTCAGCACCATTCAGGTTAGGAGTCCTAGCTCATGGGACAGTTATCCACTGCACTGCGAATCATAGTCTGGCCAGGATGGTACATATTTTGGGGGCTGCAAATCCATACATCACAGCTGGGAAGGTCAAGTCCACATAGAGACACTTAGGAAGAAATGCCTGGAGATCCGCTTCCAGCAAAGCCACCATTGGATTAAGGCTCTGCTCTGATGTACATGAGATCACTGAGTAGGAATCTGCTCACAGGTGATAGGTTTTGGGGTTTGGGAGTGTCTTAAATTGACTGCTAATAAACTGCTCACTTGGCAATTTGCACTCAGCCAACAATCCCACTAATGACCCATCCACTGTCATTGGGTCGATTCCAACTCAGAACTGAATCTCCGTTGGTTTTCCAAGTTCTTTATGGGAAAGACGGTCCATGTTTCTCCCCTGGAGCAGCTGGTGAACTCGAACTGCCGACCTCACACTTAGAGCACCACACCATGCTCCTTACCGTGGACCGTGGGTCTGGCAATCTCTTATTAAGATGACAGACAAGAACCCAGACACCAGGGTTGCATTGAGTCAGAAGAAATTAGTTTTTCAGCACAGCACTCTGGTGTCACAGCGTGGTCAGTACTGGGCTGCAAGTGGAAAGCTTGCTGGTTTGAACCCACGAGCCACCCTGCAGAAGGAAGATGAGGCAGGCTGCTCCGGGAAAAGCGACGGCTTTGGACAAGCTGCAGGCATTTCTACTGTGTACTGCTGAGTCGCTGAGCGTTGGGATTGCTGGGGGCTTGGTGCAGTTCACAGAACAAAACAGCAGGAGTGGTCACCACACAGCTGCTGGCACTTGGGCACTCACCTCTACACGGGGCAGGGGTGACTGGCCCCTGGGTTCTTGTACTTCTTCTCTGGGATTCCTGTTCCAGGAAGTTCTTCCTGATCCCACGGGTCCTCCTCTGCATCCACTCCCCCCCTCAGCAAGTGGCCAGGACCTCCGAGGGACCCAGCACGCTGGCCTCTCACACTGCTGGAGGCCGATGCCAGCCCAGGCCTATCTGGAACCCTCAGTGTGTGTTTTCCAAACAGGGGGACAAGTTGGGTGCTGGGCTCTCTTTCTACATCCTGACCACAAGTCCTTGGCCAGGTGCAGCAGCTCTGAAATCCATTTCTTGTCCAAACTTCTGACATCAATCTTTCAGATAACATCACAGCCATGTCAGCTCAAAAGTAAAAGTCCAGGTTGTTCACTATTTGCTTAACATGTGATGGTACAACGCGAAAAACATAACGGCACCTCCCTGGCTTTCAATGATGACAATCGATCTATGATGTTCTCAAGGTCATTTTCTCTAGTTTCTTCTCTTTCTACGGTCTACACTCAGCACATCAAGATAACATGGCCTGCCTTGACACATGGAGGAGCCCAAAGACAAAAATGTTACTTTTGACTTGTGAAGAAGCTCTGAGAGGGTGGTAGGAACAGTGATGGTCAATGGGTACTGGTCAGTGGCACCGCTGCAAGTGGTGCCCAGGGCCCATGCCACTCCTTAGACACCGCCTCCTGCCTGGAGTGAACAGCGTGTGGCCTCCTCAGTTCCCATTATCCCCCAGGTGCAGGGTGGACACTCTGAGCCCCTTTCCAGCTCAGGGCCTGGTTCAAAGGGACTCTGAGTGAGGGTTCTTGAGAACTAACCCTTGTCAGGTCTAGAGTGTATGGCCCCAGGGCACCCCATATAGTAGCCACTCCAGGCTGGCCATAGGAAGGTGTTGGACTTCTCCGGTGGCAGAGTAGTGCCAGGTACCACCCAGCCCTCCCCGCAGCCAGACGGACCAACAACCTGCCCTGCTTCTGCCAGGACTCCAGCTGTTCATGCAAGTCCTTCCCTGTGAGGGTGGTGGAAGATGAGAGACTCTGGATGGAATATGCAGGTCCAGGCATGTGCACACGGACACACACAAACACAGTCCAGCACCCTAGGCCTCAAATCCAGTGACATCACTTGTTTGCTCAGAGACTTGGGCCAAGCTCTTGGCCCTCCGTGGGCCCCCATTTCCTCCTGGATGTTCCTTGAAAGGTATTTTCTGGTGGCCTAGTGGCAGGAAACTGCACTGCAATCCCAGAGGTACGCGGTTCAAATCCACCAGATGCTCTGCTGAAGAAGGAGGAACAATCGCCTCCTGTACCAGTCAGATCCAATTTGACGGTACACACATAAAAAGAATAATAAAAATTAAAAAAATTAAAAAAAGAAAGGTATTTTTCTGCCTCCTTGTATCCAGAATAGTTCCTTCTGCCAAGAGTCCGTACTTCCTGTTCCCTCCTGTCAAAGTCCACTGACTCCGGTGGCCACATCAACATGCCCAAGCCAGGAAGGACCCCAGAAGACAACTCTTCAAACCCTCCTGGCAAATCAGCACAGTTTGGACTCCCTGTGCTGGCCAGGAGGAGCATATAGGGAGCTATGGCATAGAGAACCCCTGGGGGAGGGGGTTTAAGCAGCAGTCCCAACCCTGCCAGAACACTGAGCCTGCAGCACCTACCAGGGACCCAGGAACGCCTGGTGTGGGGTCATGCTCCAGGCTGCCCCTGGTGGTGGCCGAGGGCAGTGCTGGGTCTATGATGGAATGCTCATGTGTAAGACACAGCATTCCCAGCTAATGCACCTTCTCCACCCATCCGTCAGTGGAAGGTGCTTGCTGCTGAGACACTAAACAGATTTAAGCACAGCTTGCAGATTAAGAAAGACTAGGAAGAAAGGCCTGGCGGTCTACTTTTTAAAACCAGCCCATGAAGCCCTGTGGATCACAGTGGTCTGACACACAGCTGGTCACGCGGAGGTTCAGGACTGGGCAGCATGGTCAGCCACAATCACAACCGACAAGGAAGAACCCTTGAGGGCTTATCCCAGAGCAGCCCACTCTTGGTCCCTCGGTGTTGC